TTACATTTCTTTGTACACAATTTCAACTTAAATTTGTAATCTAAATACAGCGTCACTTGTTCATTAATATAAATTAACTTGTTCTTTCGTAGAACTCATAGTTTCACAGTTGATTCAAGCCACAAGCCCAAGTACTATGACCACTTATGGCAATTGTGATGTATGTTAGTTGCCTTGCATGGGGACACAATGAGAACATTTTCTTTTATTGTTTCTCTTTTTCCCTTTCCCTTGCTTCTTTTTCAAACATTCCAATAAATAATGAAATTCTACCATATGTCTTTAAAAAAATGATTTACAAATAAGAAGTTTGTACATAGAACACATTCATAATGATGTGTTAATGACATTTTTAAAATTATGACAACAATGGTGGGTGTTTCCATTGAAAATGAAGACACTCCAAGAAACTCATTTCAATTTGGATGAAAATTGTGAACAAAAATCATATTTATATATCAGTACTAGTTTTGCCAAATACGATAAACAATTTTATACATGTCTTAGGAGAGGAGGAATGGAATATTGCAATAGAGCTTATGAGACTCGAATTGGGCCTAAGGCTAAGGAAAGTGACCCCTCAACCACTAGGCCACCCTCGGTCTCAATCCATGTTTCATATTATATGCTTTAGTAACAGCACCACATGTGTATTACTTTACGACGTTTCCAATCAAATTTGATATGTTTCATTGTATGTATAGTTTTGCTATAAACACATAAATCAAATACAGAATATTCATTAATGAAAAAAAAAATTTGATGGGATCCACTTTTAAAATTCATGTCCATTCATATCCATTATATCTTCAGCTTTGTGACCAATTTTATATCCCTAAACTTATTCTTACTATCAACATTTTAAGGGACATAGGCATTTAGCCTTGTTTTAGGGGCTAGTGTTGTTGACCATCAATAAGATACCCACATGGAAAAGCTTGTCTTGCAACTCATGAACAAAGTTGGGAAGTCATTGTCCCCTTCTTGTAATGTGTTTTTGCAAATGACTCTTCATAAAGTTGTTTAATCCATATGAACATGAAAGTCACCTTTAAAAAACCTTTTAAGGTTGTTCCAGAGGTAATTAATCTGCACACAAGTATACTTGTTGAAGGTTAAAACTCAAATAAAATATGATATTATGAAGTTTTGAATTATTTTGGAAAAAGTTATTAAAAAAATAGTGCTCGACTGTTGAAACCAAAAGTTAATAGGACTCGATAGTAATTTAGAAGAAAAGGTGATCCTTATTGATACTTTTCTTTCATAATTGGTATGCATTTGTTGTATGTTATACAATAATTTCTATACTAACTAAAGATATTATTGTAAATTTTTAACTAGTGTAATTAAGATTTAGAATGCTGCCTTTCCTTCACTTGTGCGAATCAAGGCAGGGATAGTCGGATACAACTAAACATAGTTACAATTCTCAGTTACAAGAAATTACCCGTTCAACGATCATTTTTAGCAATGCTCCGAAAAATTAATCACTAAAAGGTAACTTTTCACGATGATTTCTCAATCAATCACCAAAAAAGTTCAGAGAGAGAGAGAGAATTCGCCATGAAATTTTAGAATTGTTCTAGATAATTCGGCAAAATTTGTTACACACTTTTTTTGAGTTTTTGGAATCATTGCAAAGTACTTTTTTCTTGTTAATGTGAATGTATAGAGAGATGGAAGAGAAATAATGAAACGTCATCGGAATGGTCACACTGGTGCAATAAGAGGGCCCGATGGATAACTTGTTGGTATGCATTTGTCTCTAAGATGCTGCCCATAAAATTCACATATGAAAGGTAGCTTTAAGGAAGAAAAGTTGTAGATGTAGGGTTAGGAGGCAGTGAGGTGGGCAAGGTAGCATGTGAGAGGTTGGGAGGCTTGAAGTTTTTTTTTTTTTTTTTTTTTTCATTTGGAGAGAGAGAGTGAGAGAGTTAGGTTTTAGATGACTTAAAGTGACATTTTTAAAGTCACTGCCCTAAAGAAGGTCCATTTGAGGGAGTGATGACCACTTTTGGACAATGATTTATTTATCATGCCCTCCAACTAACAAATGTTTGTGGTGTTTGTGGCTTTTGGGTCCCCATATATGCAAAAAAAAACCCATAAAGCTTATAATGAGAATGCACAAGTCAAAGTGGAGGGACTATGAGTGCCCCCACCATTTTCCTCGTATGCAAATTGAAGAAAGAAAATAAAGACAAAACAATATGATTTTGTTGTTGAAATATTACAATCGACTCAATTTCTCAATGAAGGCCGGCCTTAGGGCAGTGATAAGGTTGCCCAATTGCAATTTGATTGTCTATCTAACTTCTTTGCACGTGATGGTAGGGTTACATGCATCTGACCTTCTCCAAATCTAATATTGACAAAAATCTCGTACATTAGGATTGATCCCTTTAAATAAAGCTCTTAATTCAAATATGGAAATAGCAATGGGGAAGAATTAGATTTGTAGTGTCCCATTTATGTACTGTTTCTTATCGGAGTGGGGAAAATCGAGAAGGAGAATGGTAGGAAAAATAAAATAACAAAGATAATTTTGTACTCTAAGAGCATCTCCAACGGTAGTAGGCATTTTACCTATCCAAATATTACTATAAAGTATATATTTTATTTTGTCTATCAACTGTTTTATGTTTTTACTCCAACCATGCTCTTTATTTTAGCTATTTATCTAAATACTATTAATTTTATAGAATGCCACGTCAACAATTAAGATGGAGGGAAATGATCCTAATGATTGAATACATTTTGCCTAGCGTTGAAGGCTAGCTACATATAGCTAGTGAATATGAGTTGAGTCAAAATGCCTAATTATATGCCTAGTGCATTGGAATTGAAAAAAGTGAATCACGCTAGGCATTTTAACTAACAAGTATTATATGCCTAGTGCATTGGAGATGCTCTAAGGAAAGGACAATATAAATAAAAAAAGATGACATGACATAAGAAATAACTATTGATGAGAGAAGGAGAATGGTAGGAAAAATAAAATAGCAAAGATAATTTTGTACTCTAATAAGGAAAGGACAATATAAATGGAAAAGATGACATGACTTAAGAAATAACTATTGATGAAAATAGTTTTTTTTTTTAATAAATTAAAAAATATCGATGGGAGATAAGAAGAGAAATACATGAATAGGTGTTTTAGTATTATTATATTTAACAAATTAAATTATGCATAACTATACATACATATAAAGGTATTTTATTAATGTACTTGGGTTGGAGCTGAAAAAACAAGGAAAAAGGGAAACAAATCCTATCCCCTCCTCATTTTCTTATCCCCTCACATTTGCTTATTGGGGCAGGACAGGACAAATTGCCATTCATATCTCAAAAAACAATACAAGTGATTGAATTTGCATATTGTGACCTAAACATGTTACATAATTATGTTAATGGTGAATTAATAGTGTAGATCCTTTGCACTGTTTATATCAGCTTGGCCATCCAATGCACATTGAATGAATTGTTAATTGTGATTAATTCTTTCAATCAACATGTTTTTGGTCTTTAAGGCACCACCAGCCCACTAATTCTACAAAGCAGTAGTGATAATGCAATCTTACAATTTTTTTCTTAGTTAGAGGATAGGACCATCCTCTAAAGGCTCATCATCATTTAACCCAAAAGTCTATTGCCCAACTGACGCTTGCCCAGCCCATTAAGCTTTTATCCGGCCCAAACCTTTATCCAAGTGGGCTGACAAGGCCCATATGAGGCTTGTGCTGGAGCTGAAGCTGGGGTTCGAAGCTCAACTCATTAGCCCACAAAAATGGCCTGTTGACCCAACAAGTTTTAGCCCACAAATAGTTTTGGGCACCCTGCCTTGGTCATTTCAAAAACCATCTTTCCTTTTTTTGGTTAGATGAAGCTCACATTGATAACAGCCCATAAAAAATTAAACTATCTAACCAACCCTATTTGAATAAGCTCTCAAATCTTTTTTAAAAAAAAAAAAATTCAAATTCAAATAGGGTTTTTTAAAAACAAATTTAAAAAAATTCAAATAGAGTTTTTTTTTAAAAAAAAAACCCTATTTGAATTGCTCATACACAATTCTCACGCTAAATTTTATTTTAAAAATTTACCAATTAAAAGATCTTTTTAAATATTTTTAATTTGTAAAAAAAAAAATTCAAAATTATGCAAGCAATGCCTTGGTAGTACTCAACACTATTAATTCAAACCCTCGTACTATCAATTTTTTTTATAGTAAAAAAGATAATTGTAATTTGTAGCTCATTGCTTTATAAGCTTTATCACATTCAATAAACAAAGGTGTAGTTAATACAATTACACCATTCTTTTTCAAAAAAAAAACTTCCGCTCTTACAACAATTGTATGTCATCCACTCAATTATTAAAATCTCTCACATAACATAAGAAAAATTCTTAATTATAAAGTCAAACTCAGCACTTATTTGATATAAACTTCATTTGAAATGAGTTAGCTTTTTAACTATTAACTTTGGATTAAAAATTATAATTTAAGAATAATTTTTAAAATTTGTTTAACTTTCATAAGAAAAAAAAATAATAATTATAATTTAAGTATAATATTATATCATTATTTTTTAATCTATTTTGTTTTTTTAAAATTATTTTTGTCAAAAAATTAGTCCAACCATTATGCCAAACAAATGCATAACAATTTAAGACTAAAATAACCACAAAAATACAAAATAAACTAAAAAATTAATAAAATAAAATATCACATTCAAATTATAATTATTTTATTTTTTTTATAAAAATTTAAAAAACCAAAAAAATTCATACCAAATAAAACTTTTGAACTTCAAATCAAAATAATCAAAAATTTTAAAAATCAACTCACATCTCAAATAACTACATCTTGCAATTAAACCCAACAATTTGTCATTAGAGCTAATTCTCATTCTTACCATGTTTGAATATGTCATTAAACCTTAACCCTGTAATACATTGTCACTAATCTTGTCCAAGCAAATCAACACAACCACTTCAAAATTTTCTTAAGATTCTTTCTTTTCCCTTATATATTCATTTAATTCGAAGATTAAACACAAATATCAGACCAGCCAACAAACAAACACAGTTGAACAAACATTCCAATCTAAAAAAACAAATACAAGAATTACCCAAAAAAAATGCAAAAAATAGTTAGAAATCTTCATCAAGCTTGAAGACATGAAGCCCACCATTTCCATTCAAGCTATTCATCACAGAAGCCTTCTGGTACTCGCCAACTCTCTTCTCAAAGAAATTAGTCTTCCCTTGCAAACTAATCAGCTCCATCCAATCAAATGGGTTCTGGGCATCATACAATTTTCCATATCCCAAAGCCCCCAAAAGCCTATCAGCCACAAACTCAATATACTTACTCATCAGACCACCGTTCATTCCCACCAGTCCACACGGCAAAGCGTCGCACACGAACTCTCTCTCTATCTCCACTGCATCAGCAACGATTCCCTTAACTCGCTCCTCACTCAGCTTCTGAGTCAGCAACTCGTAGATCAAGCAAGCGAAATCGCAGTGCAAACCCTCGTCTCGCGAAATCAACTCGTTCGAGAAGGTGAGTCCGGGCATCAAGCCTCGTTTTTTGAGCCAGAAGATCGAGCAGAAACTGCCGGAGAAGAAGATCCCTTCGACGCAAGCAAACGCCACGATTCGCTCCGCGAACGATTCTCCACCGTCGATCCACTTCATCGCCCACTTCGCCTTCTTTTCGACGCACGGGATCGTCTCAATGGCGTGGAAGAGACGATGCTTCTCGGCCGGGTCTTTGATGTACGATTCGAGCAAGAGACTATACATCTCCGAGTGAATGTTCTCGATGGCAATTTGGAATCCGTAGAAAGCTCTCGCCTCGGCGACTTGGACCTCCGTCATGAACCTTCCGGCGAGATTCTCCAATACAATTCCATCAGAGGCGGCGAAGAAAGCGAGGACGTGGGTGATGAAATGCTTCTCATCGGCAGTTAGAGTTTCGTCCCAGTGTCGTTGATCTTGTGATAAATCGACCTCCTCGGCAGTCCAGAACGATGCTTCGGCCTTCTTGTACATCTCCCAGATTTGTGGGTACTGGATTGGAAACATACAGAATCGATCTGGGTTGGGAGCGAGAAGGGGTTCAATGGGAGGTATCAATTTCCTCCACGCCTCCACGAACGTCGAGTCCGCAGAAGCTTCCACCGGGACGTCGGTGGAGAACTGGCAGCGACACCTCATCGCCACCGTGGTGGCTCGTGCCATGAGCTGAGGCGCTTGTCGGAACATGGTCGGGGTTCGGTAAATAAACAATCTGAAGTAGCAGTCGTAGCTTCCCACTGCTTGGAGAGAAAATGAGGGGTTGTGTTGGGTTGAGAATGAAGAAAGAAGACATGGAAGAGATTTATATAGAGATGGAGAAGAAGGGTTTAGCGGGGGATTTGAAAATTTTTGGAGACGAAGCTTGCGGGGGAATGAAGATGAGGGGTATTTTGGGGAATTCAGTTTTGGGGGTTTTGTGAAATGACGAGAATGGGCTTGGGGCAGTGAAATATTTGGAGAGAGAATTTGGAGGGAATTATGAAATGAAGGGTAGTTTGGGTAATTGGCTGGACATTTTGAATTTTGGGGAGCGTTGAAAGAAGCTTTGGAGAGAAGATTCTGAGTTCGTTTGAATATGTAGCGGGAGGTTTGTTTGGCGCTAATCAAATCCATTTCCATCAGATAAGGTTGTTTCGGAGTTTACAGTTGGACATCATTTCAAAAAATTGTGCGCCGTTTTGTTTAATTTTGAAAAATAAATTTTTGAAAAAAATTTTAAAAATTGAAAATTTATTTAGTTATGAGTTTTGAAAATAATTTTAAAATGATTTGTAATTTTTGTTTTATTTTATAGTTGAATAGATAAGTATAAGAGAAAATTTAATTAATTGATATGTAGAGTGTGAGAGTAAAAAAAAAATGATTGATTAATGTGTAAAAATAAAAATAAAAAAAGAGAGAGAGAAAAAATCAACTTGTTTAGTTTGGATTTTCAAGATTCACTTTTTAAATTTTTTTTTTATTTTTCGTATTTTTTTTGCTTTCAATGATTTTTTTTAATATTTTAAAAAAAATTTAGATACACTTAATATAAATATACTTTAAAAGTATAATATTTATGGAAAAAAAAAACTTTAGAAAACTCACTAAATACCAAAAATATAAATACATATATATATATATATATATGAGAATTCAGTACATTTTTCATATTCTTGTGTATTTATTAATTTTTTTACAAATATTTACTTTTTAGATACATTTAAGTAAGGTGCATTTAAAAAAGTAAAAAAAATGCTTACAATTTTAAAAATATTCACTAAAAATAAAAAAATATGAAAAACAAAAAACTCAATTTAAAAAAAATAAATTCAGAAAATTGAAACCAAACACACTGATTAATTTTGAAAACAATTTTCAAAAATGATAAACTAAACACGTCTTTTGATTTTTCTATTCAAAAGTTAATTTAAAAATTAAACCAAATGAAGCCTTCACATATTGAACTTAGGCCTCGTTTGGCAAGAGGCTATTTTAGCCAATTAGTCAAAAAGTTACTAAATTAGCCAAAAAGCCAATAGCCCATACTAAAAAGTCAAAGATTCTCTTTTCTCTCTACTTTTTGCACATCTTTTCGTAATTAGCCAAAAAGTCATCCCAAACATACAAGTTTTTTTTACCTACCTTTTTAGCCAAATAGCCAAAAAGTTACTAAATTAGCCTGTTCCCAAACGAGGCCTTATTTATGATAAAATTGTTATTAAAAAATTGATAAACTATTTTTGTTTTGTTTTTCCTCCAATGATGTAGCAATAGTTAAAAAAATTGGCCTCATTTGGGAACCTCCCATTTTAGTCAAAAATTCAAAAAGTTATTAAATTAGTCAAAAAGTCAATAATCCATACTAAAAAGTCCAAGATTCTCTTTTTTCTCTATTTTTTGCACATCTTTTCGTAAAAAATCAAAAAGTCATCCCAAACATACTAATTTTTTTTAGCTCAAATTTTAACCAAATAGCCAAAAAGTTACTAAATTAGTCTGTTCCCAAATGAGACCTAAGTCTATGACCCAGATGTATAAATCTCAAATTTACTCCAAAACAAAATTTTGTGATTGAAATTAAATTTATGTAGTGTGGGACTTATGTATAAAATAAATTTGAATTAAAATATAATAATTTTAGATAATTTTTTAATAATTAAATCTGATTTTTTAATATAACTGGTAGTTAAAAGATTTGTTATTTTCAAAATGGAATAAATTTGGGGAAAAAAAATAGAAGGGGATTTTTAGAGAGAAAATTGAAAACTTGAGCAAAAACACAGGTGTAGAAATGAAGAGTCGAAGAGAGAAGGAAGTGTTTTTGTTAAAAACATGAAAAGGCGGCAAAGTTTCATTGAATGTGCCTAAGATGACGATATGTGTCATTATTATTTTTGTTATATTTTTAAGGATTATTTATATAGAAATTGTCTAAATTATTAAGAAGTATTATTTTGACTCCTTAAATTACAAAAGTGTATAAATGAATCCCTAAGCTATTGAAAAATATCATTTTGTCCTCCTAAACTACAAAATGTATAGACATTCTAAACTATTGGTATATTTTATTTTGACTCCTTCTATTGACAGTTCAATTTGTACATTTTTATAATTCATGGATATTTGTATAGTTTTTTAATTTAGAGGGCAAGGTGATTGTTAAGTTTTTATAATTGGCATTAGTTGACAAAACTCCTTTTAATTTTATTTTATTCGCTCTTTTGTTTTAGTGAGACTGGGAGTGTTTAAATGCGAATTCAACCTAAGTTGTGCATGTGTAGAGGAGTTTGTATTGATATTTCGTACCTTCAGTATTTCTTATTTGCTACTTCGCTAACTATGTACAGAGATCGAGCTAAGAAGAAAGTCAAAGTGATTTGACCGCTTGAGCGGTCTTTCGTACACTCGAGCAGTAACGTGGATCATCCAGTATCTCTAACTACAAATTGAACTTCTGGGAAACATATTTCACTACTTGAGCAGCGGATGTTGCCCTTAAGTAATTGGCCTTTATGTGAGGATTGCCTTTCGGTCTCATCACTCGAGCGGTAAAGTGTATGCATGAGCAGTTTTTGTGACTTTGTTTACTATAAAGTGCGCCATTTGCTGTTTTTAGGGTTGAACCCGTCCAAATCCTCACAGAGGATAACTACCATGATTTTCTATATTTGAGGGTGTTTATATATTGGTTTCCTTGATGATTTGTGTTGTACCCATTTAATATCTTTTATTTATTTATTTATTTATTTTTATTTTTTTAATATGACCTTTTGTCTTATTTATGTATATTATTTTGTCTTATTCATGAATCTCATTTTGTTTGGTGAATGGGGATTCATTATTTTTTGATGACCTTTTGTTTTGTTTATGAATAGAAATTAATTGGAAGGTCATGGGGTTGGTGGTGAGTTAGTGGTCATTATTTTTTTTGGTGTAATTTATAAGGTCCTAGTGGCCTATAAATTGTTCCTCTCATCTACTTTTTTCTAAACTAACTATTTTTTACACTTGAGAGATTATTAGCCAAAAAATGATATTTTTCTTGGTGAAGCTTTGGGTTCACCATCTTGTGTAGAGTTAATCTGAACCATATGACAAGTGGTCAGGCTGTTGTATCCTGGAGGGGACAAGTCATAGTTTCGTGACTGCTGCATTGGTATTTGTGTTCTTTCTATCACAGTTGGCTTGATTTCCGTAAAGAAAATGAGATATTTGTGCCTTAACCTGATTTATTTGTATCTCATTTTCTTTGCATTATTTATTAATAAAATATAATTTTTCTGGTATTTTCACCAACAATTTGAAAGTGATCGATGGATCTACGAGTTTCATATTGACGTCATCAAGGGTTTGTTTTTATTATTTCATTCACAAAAGAGAGGTATTTTTCGTTGGATTCCGGGGAACTTGGACTTCAACTTTGGCGGATTCTAGAGTGGCTCATCGTCGTAGATTTAATATTGACATTGTGGATTTAATTTTGGGCAAAGCAATTTTGAGTGAAGACGATGGGGGAAGAGCACTACAAGAAAAAGGGGCTTAAAAGACAGAACTTTTTGCTACGGCACATTTGCCGTCTCAAAAAATGACTTTTGCGACGACACAACTTACCGTCACCAAAAAATGTGATTTTTTGAGTCGGCACAACTTGCCGTCGCAAAAAATAGAGTATTTGCGACAACACAAAATGCTGTCGAGAAAAAAGAGAGTATTTACGACGGCAGAAATTGCTATCACAAAAAAAAAATAGAGTATTTGCGATGACAGAGATTGCTGTCGCAAAAAAATAGAGTTTTTGCGACAACACCAACTGCAGTCGCCAAAAAAAAAGAGAGGTTTTTGCTACTGTAATAGGTACCGTTGCAAAAAAAATGGTAAAAAAATATACATATATATATATATATATATTGTGGCTTTGAGACGGCTTCATATATATATAGTCACAAAATGGTTTAAATAAATGCAACGGTATTTTTCTGTCACAAATTTTTAAAAAAAAAAAACAACACCGTCTTACTCTTTTGAACATTTCTTTTTTCACCAATTTTTTCATCTTCCTATCTCTCTGTCTCTCTTCTCTTTCTCTCTCTACTTAGCACTCTTCTCTGTCTGTCTGTCTCTCTCTTTCTCTATGTGTCTCTGTTTCGTTCTCTTTCTCTCTCTCACCCATCACTCTTCTCTGTTTGTCTGTCTCTTTCTTTCTCTCTGTGTCTCTCACCCATCTCTCTTCCCTCTATCTCTCTTATCTCTCTGTCTCTCTTCTCTCTATCTCTCTCGCCCATCTCTCTCTGTCTCTCTGTCTCTCGTTTATCTCTTTTCGTTCTCTCTCTCTCTCTGTCTATCTCTTTTCACCCATTTTTTCGTCTTCCTCTCTCTCTTCTCTTTTTCTCTCACTCATCACTCTTCTCTCTCTGTCTGTCTGTCTATCTGTCTCTCTCTCTCTCTCTCTTTGTGTCTCTCATTCATTTATCTCTTCTCTTATCTCTTTTCTCTCTCTGTCTCTTTCGCTCATCTCTCTTCTCTCTATCTCTCTCATCTCTCTATCTCTCTCTCTGTCTCTCTCATTTATCTCTCTTTTCTCTATGTCTCTCTCCCTCATCACTCTTCTCTCTCCGTCTCTCTCATTCATCTTCTTCTCTCTTTGTCTCTTTTTTTGTCTCTCACTCTCACTCTCTATCTCTTTCTCTTCTCTTTCTCTCTCTCACTCATCA